TGTTGCTCTTTAGCAACGTAAAAGGGTGTGTTTGAGTATATTTAATTGAATAAGTAAAGCAAATTTTAAGGTAATACAAATTATTCCGAGTTTATTCAAAAATGGGAAAATATAGTGGACTGTAGGTTAAATTGAATTTAATAAACTGGTCTAGTCGACGATTCGATTGCGAGTGCCCCCATACCGGTGTACGGGTGCCGAGCTCACATTCGGAAAAAAGTACATATTTGACAATTCAGTACGTTCAAAAGGAATTCTAGTACAATTTTAAACATATGTATATATAAGGATAGTGAGTATGTTCAGTTTCGAATTAAGTAATTCTATTACATTTCAAATATGTATATAAAGTAAAGGGTGACTAATTCTTCATGTAAATTCATTATAAGTAATTCTATTACATTTCAAATATATTTATAAGATAAAGGTTAGCTAATTATTCATCATCATCCATGTCTTCGACATCACGCCCGGCCGGCCGCGTAGAAGCGGATACTAGCTCCTTCAGCTGGTTGATGATGTCTTGCGCTTTATTGAGCAGCTCACGCATTTTACGACTCCGGGCAGCGGTGGGACTTTGCAGACCTCGAGTACGCCGAATTGTCCGACGGCTAGCATAGCGAGTCCTCTCCCTACGTCGGATCGTTGACGACTTCGCCAGCGTTCGATGTAGCAGCGTGTGGTGCGCCCTACCACACTGATGACAGCTGGCTGGAGAGTCACAGGCACCGGTGACATGGGAGGTAGCCAGGCAGTTTACACAATATTTATGGACTCGGGCTGACTCATGCCTTTCAGCCGGCGTCATGGCGAGAAAAGCTTTACAGTAGCGCAATGAATGGGGGCGGCAACAAAGGCGACATTTGCTGAGCTCCATGGATGCTTCACTTGTCCTATGAAGAAATTAAATTTGAAACCAAACATTAGTTTTTTTTTTGCGTAAATACGGAGGGAATGGGAGTGAAAATGTTCTGTGGTTAACCACAGAGTCTGTATATTGAGGTATAAAGAAAAGAGAATTTTGAATAAAGTTTGATGCGTTAAGCATCCATTGTGCTGGGTGGAGGTGGTAACAAGCATAATTTTGCGATGTTGCGTGTTATAATTCCCTTTTGGGTACGGATGTCAGCCACGCGAACGTTTTGGTCGGGACCGGGATAGAGCTTAACAATACGTCCGAGGCGCCAATCATTTGGTGGGAGGTTGTCTTCTTTGATGACGACGAGGTCTTCCACTGCGATATTGGGTTCTTTGCCTTTCCACTTATGCCGTTTGTGTAGCTCTTGCAAATATTCAGTTTTCCATCGGGTGCTGAATTGATGGTGAAGTACCTTGAGCTTCTGCCACTTGTTTGGAAGAGACAGGTTTTCTGCGTTAGGTTCTGGCAGAGAGGCAAGTGGTGCTCCTCTTAAGAAGTGACCGGGAGTAAGAGGCTGTAAATCGCTAGGATCTTGAGACAAAGGCGACAGCGGTCTGGAATTGAGTACCGCTTCGATTCGTATGAGCAGTGTGGTGAATTCTTCAAACGTGAATTTGTGATTCCCCGCGACTTTGTTGAAGTGCGTCTTAAAACTTTTAACCGCTGCTTCCCACAGGCCTCCCATATGAGGAGCGTATGGTGGTATAAATTGCCAGGAGAGGCCATGAACGATATATTTTTCAGCGATATCTGAGGCGGCTTCCTTAAGAAAAGTGGAAAGTTCTCGGTGGATTGACCTTTGAGCGCCTACGAAAGTTTTCCCGTTGTCCGACATGATTTTATGGGGGAGACCACGTCGACCAACGAATCTGGCAAAGCAGGCCTTGAAGGCTTCTATTGTCAGGTCTGAGCAGAGTTCTAGATGTATGGCTTTGGTGGAGAAGCAGACAAACACGCATACATATGCTTTTGTGTGTGAGGCGCGACGCAGTAAAGAAGTTTTCACCAGGAATGGGCCCGCGAAGTCTATTCCCGTGGTGTGAAATGGTAGCGAGTAGGTTGCTCGTGCTGGAGGCAAGGCCGCCATTATCTGCGATCGCATTTCTCGCTTGTGTATGGTGCACACCTTGCAGTGGAAAATGCATTTTTTAACTTTCTGCTTAAGTCTTGGGACGTAATACTCTTGTTGTACCATCCGGACCATGAGCTGTTTTCCCGCGTGGAGTAGAGTTGTGTGGAGAAAATCTATGAAGAGAGAAAAGAACTTGGAGTTTTCGGGTATTATGATGGGGTGTCGTTCATTGTAGGTGAGAACGGCGTGCTTAAGGCGGCCGTTTACACGCATTACGCCACTTTTATCTAGCATGGGGTTCAACGATAGCAGCGAGCTTTTTTTATTTACCGGTTTCGCGGCTTCCAGTTGTGCGACCGCCTCTGCGTAATGATTGTGTTGGGCGCATATGATGAGCCGGGTTTTGACGTAACTGATTTCGTCCTGGGTGAGTGTGTGCGTCGTGGGTATTGGTTCCTTTCGTGCGCTGCGGATGAACCGATACACGTAAGCGATTACCCTAAGGGCGCGAGGAAATGACGAGAATCGAGTGAGAGGGTCTTCGTTCTCTATTGTGTGATAAGATTCCACAGATTTTTGTTCAGGGGGAAAGAGCGTTTGAGGCGCATTCTTTGGCCAGCTCGCTGAGGGTTTGGTGAGCCACTGAGGGCCATTCCACCATAGGGAACATGACGCTAGATCTTGTGGCTTGCATCCTCGAGTGCCTAAATCTGCGGGATTGTCTAAGCTCGATACGTGTCTCCATGTGGCGTTATTGACATTCTGCAAGATGAGGGAAGTTCGGTTCGCCACATATGGCTTCCATGTCCATGGTGGTTTTTCTAGCCAGGCCAGCACGATAGAGGAGTCTGACCAGAGTATGAGCTCATGGGTCGGCAGATTAAGTTGGGATCGAATATGCTTCACAAGTTTGGAGAGAAGGACCGCTCCACACAGTTCCAAGCGAGGCAGACTCACTGTTTGGAGGGGTGCGACTTTACTTTTTGCTACGAGCAAATGAGATGATGCCGAGTTTTCACAGTGTTCCACTCGGAGATAAACGCATGCGCAGAATGCTTTTTCGGATGCGTCGGAGAATCCATGGAGCTGAATGGTTTTATTAGGGGAAAACTGAACCCATCGCGGTATCCGTATTTCGCTGATGGCTATGAGGTTTTCTCGAAATGAAGTCCACTTGCGAAGCGCTCCGGGTTTGACGTTCTCGTCCCAATCGGTACCTTCCATCCAGAGTTGTTGGAGTAAGATTTTCGCCTGGATCATCATTGGCGATAGCCACCCTGCCGGGTCGAAAAGTTTCGCCACGGAGGACAAAATCTGTCTTTTAGTGGCTGCTGTGGAGTCTGGCAGGGGGTCAATAGAGTATGAGAATTCATCGTTGCGTGCATTCCATGTTACGCCGAGAGTTTTTGTTGAACTGGAATCATGGAATTCAAGAAAGTTTGTTTCTAGGAGGTCTGGTTTAGGTATATTTTTGAGTAGATATTTGTGGTTCGCAGTCATTTTTTTTAATGGAAAACCTGCTGATTTTAACGCATCAGTTACCTGGGTCATTGACGTAAGTGCTGAGTCGAGGTCGTGACCCCCAGAGAGTATATCGTCAACGTATATTTCATTTAACAGTATTTCTGTGGCTTTTGGGTATTTGATGCTTGAGTCTTTAGCTAGTTGGTGAAGCGTTCTTATCGCGAGGTATGGCGCGCAATTGACACCAAAGGTAACAGTTTTTAATTTAAAATCTTGTACCGAACTTTGAGGGGTTCTGCGGAAAAGCATCCTTTGGAATTCTTGATCCTCTGGGTGAATGTATATCTGGCGGTACATTTTCTCAATGTCGCCATTGAAAACGTATTTGTACAAACGCCATTTGAGTAGAACGAGCATAAGATCATTTTGGAGTATTGGACCTGTGTGGAGGATGTCATTAAGAGAGATACCTGAATGCGAAAGTTTCGACGCGTTGAAAACTACTCGCACCTTGGTAGTTTTACTATGTGGCTTTATTACTGCGTGGTGGGGTAGGTAGAATGAAAAATATTTGCCTTCACGTATTATTTCTCGGGACGATGTGGGTTCCATGTGACCTAATGTGAGGTATTCTTCAAGGACCTTCGAGTATGTTTGTTGCAGTTCCGGCTTCCTTTCATGCGATCGCTCGATACTGAGATATTGTTGTTGTGCTGCAGGCTTGGAGTGTCCGAGTGCAATCGTGTCCGGGAAAGTAGTTTTAAACGGAAGTTTTACCACGTAACGACCGTCATCTCTGCGAGTTGTGGACTTTTGATAGAGATCTTCACAAAATACATCATCGTCAGTGAGGGATGGGGTTGCTGGTACTTCCTCCTGATCCCAGAACTTCTTGAGCAGATCATTGAGAGAGTTTGTTGTGCTTTCAACTACCTGGGTTGAGAATGATGATACTTGCTCCGTCAGTGGGCCGCTCAAAATCCACCCAAATATTGAGTTTTGGGCTATCAAACTTCCACCGACATTGGTTTTTAGGCCTGGGAGTAACACTTGGGGAATGACATCGCTTCCTAATACCATGTCTATTCGAGCTGGAGTAAAACAGTGGGGGTCTGCTAGGGGGAGGGATGAGTATTCTTGCAGTTCAATATATGTAACTTTGAACGATGGCAAGAAATGAGTAAGTTGCGGGAGTATTATCGCGTTTGTCGTTATTTTCATAGTTGAATCAGCAGAACAAATGGTAATCGGGCAGATTCTGTTCGCATTTTGCAGTACGCGGCCACCCATTCCCATAATTTCATAACTAGTCGCTTTTGTCGGCAGGCCAAGCAGTTTTTGTATGCGAGACGCTATGAATGTTTTCTGAGATCCTTGATCTACAAGAGCTCGAATTTTGAAAATTTCTCCATTATGCAGGATTGAGATTTTTGCGGTAGGAAGTAGGGTTTTTTCTCTACTACTCGCAAAATGTGAGAGAGTTTGTTGAGCTGCCTTTGAGGTTGATGCTTCGTTTGGGTTGCTATTCCCTGGAGATGGGACTCGTGCCTGATTTGTTTTAGACCTGGTGCCTGTATTTGCTGTTGGTGATCTAGCGGGGTAATGGAGAAGAGAGTGATGCCGTTTTTGGCAATAAACGCAGGTAAACTTGCTGTGGCACTCAGTTTCTGAGTGAGAACAGGCCAAACAGTTTTTACAATAGTTGTTGTCTCTTATGAACTTATTGCGTTCTAGAACTGAGAGCTCCTTGAATTTGACACAGGTCATCAGAGAGTGATTTGAGTTGCATAATTTGCAAGATACCTGTTTTTTTAACTCAGTGTTAAATGAGTGAGTTCTGTTTTTATAGCCGAAGGAATGAGTATGATTAGGGGTTGATGAGCGTGGGGTATAATTTGGTGTTGAGGCCTTGGGTTTATTTGGCCTGTACGTACTAAGTCTCTCTACGATTTCATAACGGGTTGTCAGAAATTTATTCATTTCTGACCAGAGGGGTAACTCTTTTCTAGAGTCGAGTGACTGTTCCCATAACGCTAGGGTTTCATCTGGGAGTTTTGAGGAGCAGAGATGTATTAATATGGGGTCCCAGTTTTCTGTGGGTACGCCATTTGATTTCAAAGTCGAGAGGCAATTGTTTATTGTTGTCTGAATTGCCTGAATTTTTTCCCCATTTTCGCTTTGAATGGGCTGAATATTAAAGAGGGTTTTGAGTTGGTTGTCGACAAGGAGTCTGCGATTTTCATAACGGGATTTTAATGCATCCCATGCGAGCTCAAAGTTTTGGTCATTCATCTCATAGTTTTTTATTAAAAGTGCTGCTTTACCTCGGGTTTTTAGCTTTAAGTAGTACAGTTTTTGGGCTTGAGAGAGTTGGGGGTGTTGTTTGTACACTGCTGTGAACATGTCCCTGAAGGACGGCCAATCTTCGTAGCCGCCATAAAAGAAATCAGTGTCACAAGCAGGTACTTTTAAGTAGTTGTGAGTTAGGGGTGGGGCTGGGGCTGCTGAAATGGTGGTTGCGCTTGCGCCTATCGCGTTTTGTTGAAGTCTGGGGAGCAGTTGGTTTATTCGGGTCCTAGTATTGTGGCACATATCGATGGCTGCGTCATATTTCGTTTCGTATGCTTTCCTATACTTTTCGTCACTGCAACACATGTGTACAAGCTCGTATGCCTGTTCAACCCATGCTAGGTGTTTGGTGAGTTCCTCCACATAAAGCTTGAGACCGGCTTCCGAGTGATCCGTTATTTTTCCAGCTTTGAGATTTCGAAGAGGAATTTTTTTTGAGTTTGGGTCAATTCCTCATCGTCCGTTTGAGATTTTGACCGTGTCTTTACTCCCTGAGGAGGTGCCTGGAGGGATGTGAGTTTTTCCTGTTTTTCTTCCGCCATTATTTAATTTTTTGGGGAAGGAAGTTTATAGGAGAAATTGAGGTAGCTTTGCTGCTATAAATCGATTGAGTGAGATTGAGTTTTCGAGATTTTTTTTCCTCAAGTTTATATTTATTGTGGCTTTTCGTAAAATTTATTGGGAGATGGAGGTTATTTAAGAGGATTAACTCAAATTTTGTACTTGGGATATGCTTAATAAATTTTATTTTGATTTAAAACACTTTAACTTGATTTTATTTGCTAAGTTTTTGGGAATCGGAATTTTACTGCACCACACTGTATTTGCGTTGGTGCGAAAAATTTATAGGGTCACTGTATTGTCGGAGTACAATAGCAATTGTGGACTGTTTTGTTTTGCGCAAAAGCAATAAAATCTATGCGTAAAGATTTGAACAGTCGAAAACAAGCTATGTATTTGCAATGAGTTGTTATGTATTTTCATACATATGTCAGCCACTGTAGTTTGGCGCTTAGATATTAAGGGCTAGGTATGTATGTGCGAGTATGTATACTTAGCGCCTAAATGCTAGTACATACGTACATACGCAAGATAATTTGAGTGACCCACGAAATATTATTTGGAAATAGAATCTAGAATGCTAAAACCAAAGAGCAAGGGAATATGTGTTTGGGGTTTCTCTACTGATTATTATTAGGTATGTACATACATATGTTTGGATGCATCAACATAGATTCGCTCTATGAGAACCGTTGTAGTTTGGCGCGAGTGCATACGTATGTATTAATGTATGTATTTATGTATACAGCGCAGTATTAGTACATATGTATATAGGTAAATGCCCTGACTGACGAAATATTATTCAAAACTGAGTTGGCGTTGCGAAACGGGAATTTTTTCTTTGGTACATGTACCCAGGCGGAAATTTGGGACGTTCACTTGAACAATAGTTTCGTTCACTGAATTTAATAATCATGCATGTATTGTGAGTTGGGGGTAAATTATTTGAATATGTGATGGAGTATATATGTTGTATATTACTGTGCCTTAAGTTTAGCGGATTTTTTCTTCGAGTTGGAGAAAACGGGATATATGTAATTGAATATATGTCTACATATATATGTAGATATACAATATATTTATAATATACTGTGTTTAAAGAGTGCACGGTATTTGTCTACGGTAAATGAAAAAGGGGTAATTCATTTCACCGTATTTTTTACGAAAATCCGCTAAACCTTGCAAAAATATGCGTATATGTAAGTATGTATGTTTGAGTAACTCACTTTGGCATTCCTATGTACAAACTCTTTTTTTTCGTGTGGTGGTTTACTGTACCGGTGACTGGCCTGCTGCTATGCGGTACCTTCCGTCGCTACTGCGCCCAAGTTTTCGTCTGCCTGTTGTTGTTGTTGTTTCGGTTGCTGGTGGTGCTCCGCTACAGCTGTCTCAACAGGTGCTTCGGTGGCTGGCTGCTGCGCTGGACGATGGTAGCTGATGCGGTGGAAGATGGTTGCTGTTATTTTGCACCACTATAACAATTTTTTTCTTTTTGTTTGCGAATTTATGTTCTTCTTAGCACTTTGTTTTTGTTCGCCACTACTTGTTTCACTGTTTTCTCTGTTTATGTGTTTTTCAATGTTCAATTTTTGATTTTGCAATTAATGTTTATTAAATGTTTTCAGTTTTCGGTTTTTTTATTTCACCTTTCACTGTTTATTGTTGTGGAATGATTTATTTAATTTAATTTAATTTTTTTTTTTTTTTTTAACGCACCGCGCGCCGCTCGCAATCGAATAAACTTTTTCGTTTTTTTTCGGGTAGAAAAAAATGTATGGCGATACTCCAGCTTTGTTTAGAGTGCTTTGCGCGTTAAGTGCTGCCAATTCTTTTTGATGGCGCGTAAGGACCATATGTTGCTCTTTAGCAACGTAAAAGGGTGTGTTTGAGTATATTTAATT